AATATCCTGCTGGAAGTAGCCATCAGAGGATGGGTACGTGGCAGCCATGAAGGGATGGACATGGTCAGAAACAATGCTCAGGTAGGCCGTGGTATTTAAACGATGCCCAATTGGCACTAAGGAGTCTAAAGTGTGCCAAGAAAACATCCCCCACACCATTACACCACCACCACCACCCTTCACAGTGGTAACAAGGCATGATGGATCCATGTTCTCATTCTGTTTACGCCAAATTCTGACTCTACCATCTGAATGTCTCAACAGAAATCGAGACTCATCAGACCAGGCAACATTTTTCCAGTCCAGTGGAGATGAGTGGTACCTGGTGGGGTCTTCTGCTGTTGTAGCCCATCCGCCTCAAGGTTGTGCGTGTTGTGGCTCCACAAATGCTTTGCTGCATACCTCGGTTGTAACGAGTGGTTATTTCAGTCAAAGTTGCTCTTCTATCAGCTTGAATCATTCAGCCCATTCTCCTCTGACCTCTAGCATCAACAAGGCATTTTCGCCCACAGGACTGCCGCATACTGGATGTATTTCCCTTTTCACACCATTCTTTGTAAACCCTAGAAATGGTTGTGCGTGAAAATCCCAGTAACTGAGCAGATTGTGAAATACTCAGACCGGCCCGTCTGGCACCAACAACCATGCCACGCCAAAATTGCTTAAATCACTTTTCTTTCCCATTCTGACATTCAGTTTAGAGTTCAGGAGATTGTCTTGACCAGGACCACACCCCTAAATGCATTGAAGCAACTGCCATGTGCTTGGTTGATTAGATAATTGCATTAATGAGAAATTGAACAGGTGTTCCTAATAATCCTTTAGGTGAGTGTATGTGTAGCAACAATTGTGCAGTTGTTTAATCCCTCAGCAAGGAAAAATAAAATCAGAATCAGAAATAAACAGCAGTTTATCTCTATTGTCAGAATATTGAAAGCTTGCTATATTCAGAGGACATGATGTAAAAGTCTTTTGAGTGCTGTACTGTTTGTGCACTTTGAGTTTGGACTAGCACAGCACAGGTCTTGCAGTCTTTATCAGAGCTCAGAATGACATGCGCACACACAGCTCACAGTTTTGCAAATCCTTTACATGGTGCCTGGCTCGCTTAAACGGCCCAGAGTGAATGAGCTTTCTTGCTTCTGACAGAGGGTTGAGTGCAAAACAACTTTGTGCGTTTGACCGAGGGTCATTTTCATAGGGGAGTTGGGGTCAGTTTTCTTGCCGAAGTGTCGGGACGTTTAACATCTTTTAAATTCCAATGAAAAGAATATTTATTAGCCTCTCTAATTACTCTCCACAACATCTTGGCCCAGGTTTTTGTTTACTGTGAAGTCTTGCCTTGCTGAAAGAGCAGGGAGAAAGGGAGACAGAGGCTATTCAGTGCGATCGTAAAACTGTAAAAAAAATGTAGACAGAAACAAGTGCACAAAACAAAGGTTGTAAATGTAGAACTAATGCAGCAAGCCTTTTACATGTCTGTCTGGGTCTTTTATACAAGATGTACACAATAACTTCATCTAATATATAATGCAGTATAATACAGTGGGCTTGCAGTACATTCTACCTTTTTAAAATCTATAATGTATTCAAGATTTAACTCCTTTTCTTAACCTCCTATACACATTACACATGTTATCCTTGCCTGTAATGCAATTCAGTATGAAACCACCATTAAATGCTGTCTCAGAAATTACCATATAGCTGAAACACTCAATTTGAACAATAACTTCATGGAAGTCATACTTACAGCAGTGCTATTTAATAGATTGTATTATATTGTAGCCATGGTATTGTGTCCAAAGCTTCTATGTTCAACTGCTGTTGAAGCGTTCCTTCTGGCCTGACGTAATCCTTCAGTCAACAATGGCAGCCTTTCAGTCACTAAATTTGGGGGTGGAAAATTTGGCATGTGCACTTTTCGCTATACATGTAAACCTCTTACTCCTGCAGGTTTTGCTTTTATAATGATCAGTGAATGAAACCTTGACTCCACTTGCTTCTCCGCGGCTGCTGAGCACTCATTTTAAAGCATGCTGCAACTTTGTGGTCTGAGGTTTATTAGCAAGCCAGTTTGATAAAGGAATTGTTTTGCAGTCTGGCTTGCTTTGCCTGACAGTAGAGTAATTCAACAACTGGTTGAGGCTGACAGATAGATTGATTTGTCAGTGTGGCCTGTGCGGTGTGTGATTGTGAATGCTTGTGTGCGTCAAGTGAATGCGTGTGGCTGAGAAAATGATTAAGCTCCATAGTCCTCATAAGAGCATTTGGACCTAATTAACCCACTTCTTTATGACTGTATCTTGCACAGTTAGGCCAACTAAGCACAGTTATGCTCTCTTGTGGTATATTCCCAGTCACTAAGAAATAAATTCAGTAGTAGACATTGGCTGGTAATAATAGAAACATGATTGCTGTTCTGTATCAGTGAGACTTACCAGTACTCTTAACACCTTCAGCTAAAGTCACTTCATCTCTGTGAATGGCAGTGCTTCCAAGGAGAACATTGGCAAAGCATTTAGGGAGGTGGAGCATGAAGATTGGCTGCAACACAAAGAAATGCAACCATTCTCCCTCAGTCATTGCAGTACAGTGTACAAATTCAGATTGGTTCTGTGTGTACTTCTGGAGACAGAGCGAAGTGATTGGCCCAATGGCTGAGACAAATTTTTTGCAAATTTTAACTTTTCTTTAACAGAAGTATCTCTGCTCAACCCCTGTCACTTAACCCTCACTGGGTTTATCTTTATACAAGGGTTGAATAGGTTTCCAATGAATGAAGCCTTAGCTTGACTTCTAACTATTCCCCTCGCCAATATCCACATCAGTAAATCCACAGGGCTGATTACAGAAACAAGAGTTGTTGATGAGAGAAAGAGAGGGAGGTTAAGAGACTGTATGGCTCCACACTCTGCTTGCCTGACTGCCCCCAACATTACTCCCCAGAACTTTCTCACGGGAGTAGTCCAAAGTGATTTAAACGTGCATGCAGTTAATAGGAAGCAACAATCATACTCATCTATTCCCAAATATTACCAACAATTACCTTATTGCATTACTGTAAATATGAGCTGTAAATGCATCAACCTGTAAATACTGTAAATATTCCTTCCATTTTTTTTAAATCAACTAACCATGTAAATTACTGCTTTACATAGGAAGTTAAATTATTGCATGCTAATTATTAAAATATTTACATTTTATCAATAAATTGCATTTAGGCTAGTATAGGTGGATTCACCCAAATGAAAAAAAAAAGCATTTTCTCAATTATCTCTAGTGCCCTAGATTAGGGCTGAACGATTTTGGAAAATAATCTAATTGCAATTTTTTTTTTAAACCAATATTGCGATTTAATATGCGATTCATTTTTAAGCTCTTTACCTTCTGTATTACTCAAAAAGGACAAGAAATAAATCAAGTGTAGACTATTGGATGACCAACACAATATTAGATAGATTAAACATACACTGTTCTTTCTTGTAGGCCAGGCTGGTGTTATGATGAAATTAGGTGATGCATGAATTATTATTATGAGCAATGGCGGAGAAGAAGTATCAAATTATAATAATATGAGAAAGATAAATTGAGAGCCAAGTCATGGCATTAAATAATATGATATCATATCATCAGGTCGGTCTACCTACAGAACACCACCGTATATTCACCACAGTATATTGTACAGTAAGCGCTCAATACGAAACCCACAGTTCAACCACCTCAGTTCAAATCTCCTAGGAGTCCGTCTCTCAATAAAAAAAACTCAAAAAATACTCAGTTTGAGGTTCAGTTAAAAAGTTGGCCAACGAAAATAAAACCAAGTGACGCCTCTCGTGTTTAATAGACAAGCTTAGTAATTCTCCGACAACACTGGAGTTCTCCACTCCCGCATGCTGGTAAGCAAATTTCCACTGGTCAACGGAGTTGAGTGTGAGTTTGGTTTGAAAGGCTGTTTCACAGATATTTTCTGAGCTGACTGGTGGCTGCGTGTGTGACGATCGCCACAATACCCTTACCTTACTACACACGTCTTTCTGTTGTGCATTTTTCCTGTCCGCCAAAGTGGCCACCACCAATTTACCAAGTTTCTGTAGTGTAAGCTTCTGTCAAGCCTAAGGCCATTGTACAACAAGACGTCAAGGTACAGCGTAACGTGCGAAGTTGATGCTTCCTCTGCGGACTGGTTAACTCTTGTGTGTCATGTGACCAGAGTGTAATCGCAGCATTTGCGATTAGAAAATCTCATTTTATAATATCACGATAATATCGCAAATGCCTTAGTTTAGATAATCCACAGAACACACTGTCAGCAGTTTTAATTAGACAAAAGCATTGTATATCTCAACACACACACAGATAAAACCCTAGTATCTGGATTCAAGTGAGAAAGTATGTCTATGAAGATTCTCAGTCATCCAGGTCATAGTTATCCAACGAAGGTTAAAGTCAAGGGCAACTGGACTTGGTTGAAGATACTGGAAGACGTTTCGTCCCTCATCCAAAGGACTTCTTCAGTTCTGACTGATTGGCAGGGAAACTCAGCTATTTAACCTCAGTGGGGTCGTTGGCCCGGGTCATCGATACCGCTTGGTCATTAGGGTTCCTTGTTGCTGTGACGACAGTCGTTACAGTCGTTAAGACTACCTGTGGCCAAGACTGAACGACCATCGTTGGTATCTTCACCTGAGGCCAATAGGTTATGTTTGTTGAGTTTCCTGGGAAGTGATGAAAGGACCGCATTGTAATGGAAACTCAACAAACGTAACCTATTGGCCTCAGGTGAAGATCCCAACGATGGTCGTTCAGTCTTGGCCACAGGTAGTCTTAACGACTGTAACGACTGTCGTCACAGAAACAAGGAACACTAACGAACCAGCGGTATCGATGACCCGGGCCAACAACCCCACTGAGGTTAAATAGCTGAGTTTCCCTGCCAGTCAGTCAGAACTGAAGAAGTCCTTTGGATGAGGGACGAAACGTCTTCCAGTATCTTCAACCAAGTCCAGTTGCCCTTGATTTTAACCTTCGTTGGATAAGTGAGAAAGTATGTGTTTTTTTTGTCTTTTAGGAGTTTGGAGAGGGAAACTCTAGTGTACTGTAAATAGTTAGCCTGGTCCGCCTTTTCGGTTTAATTTCATTTTCATTTTCCTTAATTTCTCCTCCTCTTCAGTAAAGAGTGGATCTCGGCCTCTCCACTTTAACTGTTCACCAGCTGCTCACTCCTGCCTACTTCAGAGATGAGTGCCAAGTCCGCCATCAACAAGGAGGTCTTCATACCACATGATGAGAAGATGCTTGCCGCTGTGCAGGTAAAGAGGAGGACCAAGAAGAAGATCCCCTTCCTGGCCACTGGTGGTCAGGGTGACTACATGACCTTCATCTGCCTCTCAGGTCAGAGGACAAATGTAAATCTCTTCTCCTCTCCTCTCCTCTCCTCTCCCCTCTCTCCTTTCTGTGTTGATTGGGCTGTTGCAACACAAAGTATAATTTCAACACTTCTCCTTTTAATTCTCCCTAATGTTCACACTGATGAGCATGTTTACATTTACTCTGCTAATGGGATGACACGCAAAATCAATTTATTGCTTTTTTAAAATAGATCAGATTTACGCTCAAATTGAATAATTATTTCACCAGATATTGATTAAATGATTTTGTTTTCTTTCTCTGTTTGAACGTTTGCTGAGATATTGCATGTTAATTGAATTAGCCATGGATATTATTCATGAGGAGAATAGCTGGAGAGTATTTATTTTATTGCCAGCAGAACTGCTTATGAAGATCAATGACATTTCTTAATCCTTCCAATTGAATGTGTATTAAACTCTGCTTTGGCAACAGCAGATCACATCATTAAAGGTTCAAAGTTAGTTATTGGTGACTGGGAGGAATTTAGAGTATATCAGTATAGCACAAATGTCAGTGCAGTCTCTCTGTGCGGGATTTAAATTCATGGTTGCCTACCAGTAATATAGCTACTCAACACTGAGCTTGTGTGTTTACACTCTCAGGGACAAGCGCATAAAAGCCAACTGTGTCAAGCGCAAATCCAAATTAACAACAAGTTTCTGGAAACGGACACTGTTTTTCTGAAGGGTTTATGATGAGTCATTTCTCCTTTAATGTGGAAATGAGTTTGGTTGATATTCACTTGTATTGCCAGTCTCATCACGTCCCCAGCAGCAGCCTTCACCTCCGTGCCCTGTTTGAGCTCTGCTGCGCCAAAATCTATTAAAGTTACTGGTCTCCAGTCTCATAGCTTCTTTAGAATTTTTTAAATAATGATTACCACACAATACATGATATTATAAGGATAGATTAGAGATTTGACTTCAGTGGAAAGCTGCTGGTTTGAATCTCAAATGTGGCTTTGAACACTGGGCAACAGTCCTGCCTTCTTTATTATTATTTGATTCTGTATTTGTTTGCCTTTTAATGTGTCTTTGTAATGTTGACATTGAGTCTACTCTTTTCACCATTACCTCTATCTTTGAATACACAAAGCATTTTTCACATAATTACATATCAACACTGGCGAAGGGCATCCTGAAGACTGTAGAGAGAGGAATAGTTTGCAGAGTATCCATGCATGAACATAGAGAACCTATGTGTCCCCCTGTGTTAGAAGGCATGCCAGCAACACACCACATCCACCATACCAGGTTTTTATTATCGATTAATCCAAAAATTTCTAATTTATTCTATATGTAAGTACTTTTCCAGGGCCCAAAGATACATATTTCGTCTAATCAACAGTTCAGAAATCCAATTTACAGTGATATGAAACAGAGCAAAGCAGTAAATTCTCCCATTCGAGAAGTTGGCCTTTTTGCTTAAAAAAAGATTTTATTTATTATCAAATTTGTTGGTGATAAGGGACCCTGGGCCTGGGGTTTAAGGCCCAGACCATGAATCACAATGTCCTTGGTTTGTGTCTGGCCCGGGACTTTTGTTGGATGTCACTCCCATCTCTCTCTGCTTATTTCCTGGCATCAGTCTACTGTTGACTTATTAATCAAAAAACTTACAAAAAAAATGTTATGGCACTCAACTAATTGATTAATCAAGTAGTTTGTTCATCACTAGTTTGACTCTCACCTCATCATCACATACTGTAGCTAAATTGGATGAACGAAATCAAAATCACATAAAAAATAAGTTGATTCATCTGAGTATACCTCATTCTTTATTTGGTAATTGCACACTTAACCTCAGATTGTCTCAGTGAGACTGCTCATTCTTTAACACTTAGATTGTAGCGATGAAGGGTGTGTGTGTCAGTGTAACCTCGACAGAGAGACAGTACGACTGGGTCAGGGTCCGTCTTAAAACCATGGTGATGCCACTTTAAACTGCCCCAGGTTACTACATCACCTGGTTGGAGCAAGATAAGTTTGGTACAGTCAGTGACTCCAACCTTTCTGTAAAGATGAAGAGGTCTATTGTTGGACTGTGTGACTGCTGGGACTGTGGGCTCTTGCATTTGTACTTTATTTACTTTTTATGTAACCCAGCTGAATCGGTGCATCTCCTGTTTTGGTCTGTGGGGGAGGTCAAGGCTCCATAGGAACTGCCATTCATTCACTGCCATCTTTACTTATTATGTGTAGAGACATGAGGCTATTTCATCCTTGTGCTGAAAAGCCTTTTGTTGATTCAATGTCAGATAATTTTTAAAGGAGGAACATTTTGTATTTTCTTATCCTTTGAAATAAGGCAGGGCGATATGGCCTATAGATTTTCTTCAAAATAACTTTTTGGACTTAATTGCCTGCAGAGGCCAGAGGACACCAGTATTTTATTTTGAAGTAGGCTTAGAGACCTCTTAGAGACCTATTCCCTCGGTTTGGTAGTATATTTGATTATATTTGAGTAAGTCCCTGTTTTCTGATCTGCTCCAATTTTGTTGTGTTTAAGTTACTGCATTATGCTGTTAATATACCAACAATGCAGATTTTTAAATACAAATTTTTAAATCATTTCACTATCTATGTAAATTATAATTGCACCTTTTTATTGATATGTTGATTTGGCTTTGAGAGTGATAACTTAAAACAAATAGCACCTATTATTTGGTGTCTGATAAAGAGAGACTTAAAGGTTTTTGAGCATGAAGGACTTCATCATTTCAAGAAGGAACTGGGCTTTGACGAGGTCCCACAAAACACTTTTATAGGAATAAAATCATAAATAATGAAAGACACAATACTAAACTTCAGCTACATACACACAGTTTGTTGGCCTAGTAGTGATTCATCTTTTCTGACACATTGAAATATTGGTTTCCAGGACACAGTGAGTTTACTACTGTCAGTCGCACACCCATTCTCTCTCTCTCGCTCTCTGCTCAAATGTGAAAAAGAGAGAGAGTACAATGTTCATTTAACAATTTATTATTAAACAAATGGACAAATGTGTTCATTAGGGAATCACCGAAATTAAGTGGCTGAAAATAGCAAAAATAGCACTTTTGGTGTTCGGCCTAATAAGTCAGAACACGTATTAGATTGTACTGAACAATTACGTTAACTTGTCAGCAGTGTGGAAGAATTTTTAAGTTTCTGAGAAAAATGCAAAAATCACCGTTTGAAGACACTGTTCTGCTGAATTGTCTACTAGCACATCCACCTCACATCTGTGGCTGACTTCTTAGAAAAGGCAACAAACGGTCTGACCCACTTTGAGTGTTTCTGTCACTCGTCTGTGAGAAAGCGATTAAGCTAGCTGCACCTACATTTAGAGTGCACACATATTCGAGCCTTTATGGTAACGGAACAGAGCGAGCTGACAGGCAGGTTAGCGACTTTATCATATTGGGTCAGACTTGTTAAATTTAGCGCAATGACACACATGTGACAGCGTCCGGTTTTAAAAATAAGGTGTCTATACAGTATGGAAATTTGCTTGCAGGGGCCAATGCATCACCTGAAACACTGAGCCCCTCCACACTTCTTACCAGCTGTCATTAATTAATACCTGTACCAAAAAAAAAGGGTGGTGACCAAATCATGTGCTGGTGCGACAAACTGAGAAAGTTGGTAGCACCAGTGCTACCAGTGGAAAAGTTTGTCTGGAGCCTTGCACACACACACACACACACACACACACAAACACACACTCAGGCTTCAGCTAGACAGAACCATATTTTACCATTCTGTAATTCTCTCTTAAGTGTATATCCAGGATTATCAATGGTTGTGTTTGCAGATTTGCATATAGGGCTGGACAATATGGCCAAAAATGTTTCGATATTGATAATTATCGTTATTTCTTTCGAGTTTTAAAGTCTGATTTTTGCTCCTGAGTGACAGTTGATAACTTCACAAATCTGAGGTAGAACATTCAAAACAGTTAAAATAAAATCTTTGTCACAAGTAAAATTAAATAAAAGCTTTTTTCTCAACACAATAAACATCTTAATAAAGAAATCAAGTCCTAATTTGTGTATGATTCAAGTGAATAACATTTATTGAATATTTAGTGAACATTTGTTATATTGTTATGCATTCTTTATTCTGCACTGGGGGCTGTTTTAGGTGAAGAATCAGAAACCGCTGTATTTAAGTAGTTTTTACCCAAAAGGAATTTGGTGACTACAGCAGACATAAACCTATATAAATGTAAAAATATGAAATTTACAAAATATCGAAATTATAGAAGAATAATAAAGACTATAACCTGGTAGGACATTTTATAAACTGTCTGTAGTTGGGGAGATCATGGCTGAGATTTCCTTTGTTAAAGTCACCAAGGACAATAACAAGGGAGTCTGGGTTCTTCTGCTCCACACACAGTATCTGGAGGAGGAGCAGGCGCTGTGCACCTTTCGTTTTGCTGGAGAGATCTGTCTCACGATCTTCTCTGAATAGTCCAGTATAATTCCACACAGCCACATCTCTGTGAATCATAAAACAGATTATGAATAAAAGTTCCACAGATGACACGAGAAAAATGGGAAATAAATCCGCTGGTGGTTTTCCCCTGATGTTCATGAGCTTCTCTCTGGTGAGCGAGCTCCGGGTATAAGAGCAGAAAACTGAGTATACAAACAAAAACAAGACAAAACAACATGCACCAAACACAGAGGCAGCCATCCACAGCGCCATCTTGGAGCATGGATAGATTTGTGCTACTGCTGGCTTTAATAGCAATTGTTTTGTGGTATATTTTGCAGAGGATCACAGTTTGGACACACATCTGCCCTCTAGAAACTGAACCACCTCCATATGATCGACCCTTTGTCTGGAATTGAAGTTAAATAAGGACAACAATGGTTGGTTAGTTTAGGGAATCTGTGACTGTGTGGAAGAGGGAGCGAGTCCCCTGCATGTAAATGCCTGCTGCTTTTCACGCAAAAAATAAATTGATAAATGAAGATGACGATTATGGTCATCTGCCATATTGCTCTTCAAATCTATTGGATATATGCAATATTTCACCCAGTCCTACTTTGAAATACAATATTCTGAATGTGTGAATGGATGTTGCATAATGTTCTAAAACAAATGAAGAAATTGCACAGTTTATTCCCATCCCATTTACTACCATCACCACAATCACCCAAGTTTATATCTTGCCAAAGTTACCACATTAAAAGTTTTTTGCTGGCTGCCCTAAACTAACATTCTCTCTAAGCTGATGTTTGTATCACATGTGGGAGCACAGTAGTGAAGGCCAGCACTGTTATGTAGTGTACTTAGTCATGTGGCATTTATTTAAGCCGGCCAGGCATTGTTCTGAGTTGTGTGTGTGTGTGTGTGTGTGTGTACTGTACAGCCAAACCACGAGTGTGAAACCAGGCTGTGCCTCCCAGCACAGTGGAGATAGAAAACTGGTGCGTGTGACTTTAAGTGTTCAGTATGTTTGTATCTATGTGAAAGCACTGTGTATGTAAGGGTGAGGGAAGGGGTTCACTGACAGTCTCATGGCTACAGTAACAGATAGTTAACGTCTCAGGGCCATACAGTGGCAGTGTTATGTAATCTGTGGTATGTCACACGGCTAAAGGAAGCCTATGAGGAACTGTGCTGTAGAGACAGCCGTGGGCACTTAACTCTTACGCTAAGCAGGGTGCCAGGATGGAAGACCAGGCCATCACTGCTACTCTAATTCCAGGATCATATCTTATAATACAGTCATAAGATGTGACTGAATGTAAGAAAAACAAGATATTTTCAACATTTTTTCCGGCTTTATTGCTGAAACACGTATTACTCTTGACAGAAATAGTAATTGGAAAAGGAAGCTGTGGTTTGGATTAAAAAACAGCGCACCTTAACAGAGATTATCCACCCAACCTTATCAACCTGACCAGGCACGACGGTGATCGTCCCAGGAGGAGTGTAAAGAGAGCCGGAGTAGAAGCTATGTTGGCCCAGCAGACTTGTCTGGTATGGACAAAATGGGACTCAAAACAACGCGAAACCTGGAACTGTTGTGCCCACATCTTTACAAATACCTGCTCCATTTTCATCCTGGATCAAGGCGGACCGTGTTCTGAGCTGACAGAGCGGGAGACTCTGTCAAGATTAGAAGACACGGACTCTGTGTTTACGTCGATGATGCTTGCCGCTCAAATGTGGTCGAAAGGGATGGACACGGTTTCCCAAATCTCTAACTTTTTGTGTAAAGATGAAAGCCATATTATCATCACTATCTTGTTACTGCTGTTTACATTCTCCCAGACGCAAATAAAAAAATATGCACTGTAGAATTATTTCCTGGGTGTATATGTTCATGTATATATCAATATATAACATAAAAATAACTGTATACTTTTTTGTATGTATTACCCTTGTTTGTGTTACCCTATTCTAATGTTTATCTGTTATGCTCTATGTAGCATGAAGGGACTAAAAACTTCAATTTCATTGTACAAGCTTGTGTTGTATGATGGTAAATAAATTACCTTGATCCTGATACTGAAAATAACCTTATTTGCAGTTTTAAAGTTATGCCTGTTGTGAAGTTTCTTATCTGTTGCATGTTTTATGGATGTTATGCAATTGACCTTGTAACCACAGCAGTGAGTTTGAGCTGTCTTCTTCGTGTGGGTCTTTTGAATTGGCTGTTTGTTGAAGAGATGACTTTTTGTCTTAAGTAGAGAGCTACATCTGTCAGTGGAACAAAAAAACCTGGACAGCTGCCAATTTCAGAGCAGGGCTTCTTGTTTCAGAATTACATTTGGCTCCAGGAAAACAATTCTGTTCTGCTCGTAGTTAACTTGTTTGGCTTCAGGGTGACATCTTGATAATCTGTAATATGTCAGCACTACGGGCAGTGATATTCTTTAATTTCCTGTAGCAATAAGTTGCGTTTTGTCCACAAGTCCTCAGTCAATCATTGGTAATTTTCAGCATCATGTTAGTACGGAGTCAGCATGCATCATTTCCTTCCTCTTTTTTTGCTGTTTATTACAGATGAATAAGATTAAGTCTAGACTAATGCTCACTATCAAACATTGACTTTGAGATTTGTGAGCTCTGCATGACCACTAGAGGAGAACAAGCCTTCAAATACAATTACCGAAAATACACCATATGTAGGGCCCTATGAAGGACTTGCTGAATTAGATAAAAAAAAAAAATGGAATCAACTGTAAAATGTGGAATATCGTGGAATCTGCCTAAATGGATGCATTTGTTATAAGATTATAAGAATTTTTTACATAGCACCCAAGCCAAATGAACAGAAGAAAACTATGTTGCTGTGTTTTGGTGACATTTATGGGCGTTTGGAGTTTCAGTGGACCCAAAGATTGCTATGGACCCAAGTACAGACTAGCTAGAGAGAGTAGATTAAGTGTACTTCTCTGTTTATTCTCTTTTCAAAATAATTGTAACTCAATTATTTGCTCAACCCTGTTTTTATTTTCCATTTAACTCTTTTAACCCTCATTGTACACTTCACTGTAACTTTTATTATATTTTAATGTGTATTTTTTCAATTTTCCTATGTTGCTTTTAAACTTTTTTATATTTCCCTGTTGCTTTTATGTTTTATGTAAAGCAATTTTGAATTACCTTGTTGTTGAAATGTGCTATACAAATAAACTTGCCTTGCCTTAAATTGTAAAACACAGAATTCAGAACAATTTAAGTGGAAAACATGGAATTTGAGAAAAAATAAGATGGGATCTAGAAAAATTAAAACAGATTTTATAGGGCCCTTTATTTGTCATAATGTGTCCCGATAACTGTTTAGAAAACAGTTGTATAGGATCAGTCTCTCGTCCAGTGATCACTACTGTACGTTGCATAGAAAATAGTTCAAGACAATTTGCGGGTGGCGTGAGATGAGCACGACCACAACAGTTTCATGGGATTGCGCCTGCTTGTTACTTTGCCTGTTAGACCTCCCTACCTGCCCCCTGACCTCTCATTGAAAATTAATTTCTAGGTGTGTCAATCACTCCCCATCTGAAAAGACCTTTATCATGGCTTCTCTTCACCTCTGTGACCAGTAGATGCTCCTAGCCTGTGCTATGATGAGATTTCTAAGATGCCTTTGATCTTATACACATACTTATTCACACAGAGTTGCTCAACTGCACATGTTAACACTTTCACAATAACAGTTGGGGTCTTCATGACATAGGAACATGTTGGAGCAAAGCCAGATGCTTAAAATGGAACAAGTTGGTTAGAGCGCTTTCTCTTTCATCACTGGGCTCCATACGGTGCCTTTATGGCTGGACCTCAGGGCTGAAACACTGGACTGCCCACAGAAGGTTTTGCAGGAAAGATGTGAGGCCAGTTGATTTGGATAAGAGTTGGTCTACATGGTTTTGATTTCATTTTTTCGATCTGAGAGGAAAATATGTTTTCTGCCTTTCCCATCCCATTTCTCTCGAGCAATCCTCGTGATTTCCAACACCCCTTTTCGCCCCTGCTGTTTACATCTGTGTCTGTCTGTATGTATAAGCGCTACAGGTTGGCTACTTTGGGGGGGTTTAATGAAGTAAATTAGGAGCCCCCTGTCAGTTTCATATTAGGGAATACCATGCTTTTTTCCCCTTCTACCTAACTTTGCTCAAGCCAATGTTCTTAATCCTGTTATCTGTCACTAACACAATGCCTCGTTTGTTTGTCTACATTGACTGTGTTTACATGTGCACTGGTATACAGTTTTGAGGCATATATTGGTATTTATCTTATTAGGGATATGATGTTTACTGGAATATTTAGTTATTCATGTCATTGCTGTATACATAATCCTAACATTATCCAGGTTTGGAGAATGAGAATGTTTGTGCTTTTGTGTATTAGAATACTCCACATAACATATCCAGGTTTCTCAAAACCAGCATATGGTTTCTGAAACCAGGACATGATAACATGTGCAGCACATAACCAAGATACTCCAAAAACCCACTCACCATCAAGATACTTGTGTCCATATAAACGCACTCATTAATGCTTTGTGTCAATATGTGAATTTCCATGTGGGAAGCATCTGGGCATCCATGTTTATGGGTGTATTCATGAACAGCGTGTTTATGCAGGCATGTTATTTTGTGGGTTGGTTTACATGTTCATTTTATGAGTAGGCTGTGT